CATGAGTTTTGTAAATACCTCTCCCTTGTGTTAGCCAATCTATCTCGTTTACAAATTAACTGCTTATGTAATTAATATTGAACTCCTCCTGTGTAGGTTAGTGAATAGTTTCTGTTATTTTTGCTAAATCTTTATTTTGCCCCTTGTTTGTACCTAATCAACTCCCACTTTATTATCACCTTCTTAATTCAACAAAGAGAGAGCAGCTCTCGCCCATGACTTCATCATTGTTTTTATTTTTTGCTGGACAAGCAATATAAGTTGACATGATCCTTAGATTTGATCAGTAGCATGATGACCTGACAGATGTTCTTTGATGGTCACATTAATTTGAGAATGACCTGATTACATATGTATCTAGCAGTGGTGGGCAGTCAGGGCCAGCAAAGCCTTCTCTGCTGGCCTAAACATACTCAAAAGTGTAAATGTATTTTTTTTCCTTTGGTAATTATTTTTAAATAAAAAAAATGTTTACTGGTCTATTTTCTTTATATCCTATTATAACCACTTGGCTGTGCTGCTTCCAGTGTTAAAATACCAAGGCTGGGTGTTATCCAATCAGATTTAAGCTAGCTTGTGTTTTCAGGCAGATTAAGTCTGCCCTAGGCCTTCAGAATCAATCGAGAAGCTCACTGTCCGCTGTAATGGGCCATTCCCATCTGTACCAGGTCGGCGTGGGCCGGGTAGCGTAGGTTGTTTACATATCTGGGTGGCCTGGTATTTTTCCGGGCCAACCAAGGCTCATTTTCGGCCCTCTTCTCGAGGGGGTCTGCTTCAGGCCGACCAGGGCCAACACACCCACTGCTGACAGCAAATTCACACCTTCCATTAGAGCAAGCCTCTGATTGGTGGGTAGAATCAGCCCACATGGGCTTAAGACAAGGATGTGTGGAATCAACCGGGCCAGGCTGGGGCCGACTGGGGCTACCCGGCCCGGGCCGACCCGGTACAGATGGGAATGGCCCATAAGTGAACAGAGACGAGCCAGTTGCGATAGCCAATCAGCTCACGAGTCAGCTTGGCCCGGGCCAGCTAGCTGGCCTCACGCAAAAGTTGACATGAACGCATCCTGTGATTGGATAAGCAGTAGTTTGAACTTTTCTAGCAGCATTAAGCAAAATATCAATACTAAATACGGAGATTTGTATCTATAGGCAGCTATCGGTGTATTTTTGTACAAATGATGGCTGAAAGAGGAGAAGAGACAGACTTGGTTGCAGATTAACTTGCCACACCATTTTCAAGACGGACCTTTCAAGAAAAAATGGATATTGTGAGAACAGGTCGTCTGACTCCAACGCTAGCTGGCTTGTCCCAGCAGGGGAAAGGATTTGTTCGTCATTTTCAGGCAAGCAACTATGAACGGTACCCACGGCTAACAGCTTCAGAGAACCGCTGCAGGTTATTCTGCTGGGAATGCCCGTTGCTCGCATCAGATGGATTTGGTAGCATTAAAGCGCGTTAAAATGTACGCCAGAAACACGACCGGGCAGACACGTCTTTCAGCATTACCCTCCATGTACATAGAAAAGGATCCACTCATGGACCTGAAGCGCACAGATAAACTGTACAGAGCCACTGAGGTTTTCCTGAGGAAAGAAAGAAGGATGGATTTTATTTTCTAATGAGCAGGAGAGGAGGAGATCCATGCTGGACATTTATGTTGGTGAGTAGAAACATTTTATTAGTATTTTTTTAATGTTTTGTCATTTTATTTTGTTAATAATCAATAAATGGTAACGAAATAAAATGGCAAAATGAAATTATTCTGTGTTCTGTTTCTATGCAATTTATATTGTGTATGACGTGGTGTGTGCAGCTGCGCCAACATGTTCAATTGTTTCGCAGTGCAATTTTCTCCAAAACAAATGCAAATAATGTGTTTGCTTTACTTATTTATTTTATTGTCTCATCTCTTAAACCCGTCTTTCATTTCTGAGATTTGACAGTATCCGTGGTCAGCTTCCTACTCTCAACTGGGAATGCGAGTTTGATTTTAAAGACTCTGGAAATTATGTGTCTTGACCAGCCACTGGTGTGTGTGTGTGTGTGTGTGTGTGTGTGTGTGTGTGTGTGTGAGGTTTCTCCAGCTGTGATGTCCTATTGATGGTATTTTAAGGTGTATTAAATTAGATTGGACTGAATAGGAAATCACTGAAGGCCAAGGGGTGGAATGTACAGTCTATGGGTGGAACGCACCGCCCGCCACTGGTATCTAGTAGTTTTTACGTTTGTCAGCCTTTTATTTTGTTTATTTCTTGTTGTTTTGTGAGTATAAATGCTTTAGTTGTTCATGATCACACTTGGTAATACTCCTCTGCTTGACCTCTAAACTAATTAGGGCTCCCCCTCATGCTTTTCCTTGTTTCCTGTAGTATAACCTTTTTTAAACTAAGTACACTTTTGTACGAATTATGAATTATTTCTTTTGTTTAGAATGTATTTTCCCTTCCTGAAATGATTATCATCTTTTGAATCTATCTAAAAACACCATCAGTTGTTTTATTTTTGATCGTTCACTGTCTCCATGTGACGGATGAGTTTTATTTTCTTTATATAAATCTGTTGACCAATTTCACTTACGAAGCTTTAATTTAGCAGTATTTATCTCCCGTTGACAGATTTTTCACATTATTTGAGCAGCATTATTGAGTGACATTGCACATTGTAGATGTACTCTGAAGCGACCTTACCCTACTGAATCTATGTGGAGTTGAAATATTATTTTTATAATTATGACTCGTTTCATTGTTAATTAATTCCGGTGTTAGAAGCAAAGAGATTAAATTTAGAAGTCACTAGAGGTGAAAGTTTCTGGCATAATGAGAGCAAACACATAGAGTCTATGATATTTTTATTTTTTGATATGAGCTTGGGGATGCTGACAAGCTCACCCTTTTTCCCAGATGGGTTGATTCCCTTTGATCTTATTAGTTTATTATTTTTGCTACAGTTCTTTTACTACAATTTCTCCTGTTACTACTAGGTTATGTAAATACCTTTTGTGTTTATTTTCTATTTTCTTTACACGAATTATGGCTTTTTTGTTAGTTGTTGGTTTGTTTTGGGTTGTTTTGTTGTTTTATGCACACTGTGTTCCATGACTCTGCACCTTGCTGACGTAAACTATTAATTGCAAGTTCCTTGGGATGGGGGTGGTTTTTCACATGTTTTGTGAGGTCCAATTTTAACATCGGGTTGGCGCAATGCTTGCCAGTATCGGACCCTTTTGTTTATGTTTTGTTTCTGGTGAGCCCTGAGTTGCCTCGTGCCTCAAGAGGAGGGTAGGCTGATAACGATTTCCTCACATTATTACACTGCCTGGATGGAATTACCTTAAATATTAGATGATTGTTGCTGAAACCAATTCAAAATCAACAGTGATCTCCCAGAATTTTCTTGTGCTTTTTCGCCACGGGTTGTGAAACCAGGAAATTGGGTTTTGATGAAGGTGCTGAAACGAAACAGATGGGACAGCCAGAGGTCCATTCGAAGTACTCCTCATTACTCCCACTGCTGTGAAGATTGCTGAGAGGCCATCTTGGATTCTTCTATCCCACTGCAAGCTTATCAACCAACTGCTTTAGAGCGGCAACAAAGTCCGGCTACAAAGGGGTGGGCCACCACTAGGGTACCCTCTCTCAAACCCGGTGAAGATAAGATCAAGATAAAGATAAGATAAAGATCTGCTTTGAGCTTGCTGGGTTCACCACATTGTTGATGTTGGTGGTTGCACTCATGGCCCTGCACTTGGACTGCCTCTCAGCACCTGATGGAACAACTGGGACAGCAACATTTGAGGAGGTACTAGAACTGGAACTGAACGACAGATTGGGGCTCTTCCCTGACTGCACACCTACATGACAACGTAACCTGCATCCACCTCGGCTGAAGACCCCCTGGACGCAACTACAACAGGACACAGTGAAGAAGAGACGCTGGAAAATGATCAACTACCTCAAGCACCTGCACCCAAACCTCCAGACTGGTTTCACGTTCAAGGACCTGAAGGAATTTTCGGGGACAAGATCAGCTCCCTGACAATTGGACAACCGCCTCGACACGCCACGGAAGGACCCTGAAGTTTTTCTAATGAAAAGTTGCTCACATCCCGAACTCCATTATTACATTCCGGACCTGGACTTCAAGATACTCATCAACATAAGACTGAAACCATCCTGACCAACGGGAGAGGACTCTGAATTTCAAACCCATTCTCCAACCGGGACTCTCAGTCCACGGACAAGCCCTTTGATGAAGAATGCCTGGTTTGCCTCAGCTCTGCCACAGTTCGAGCTGCGTAAATTAATATTACACCTTCATTTTTCCTCCTTCACTGAAAGATTCGTCTGCAACTTGGGAGCTTTAATCTAAATTCACCTGATGTTTCCAAACACCGAACGGATGTTTTCTGTGTATTATATGGTTTTGCTGACCCTTCCCAATCTCCTTACAGGAACTGCCACAAAATTGTAGAATTGTGCATCACAGTAAGGTCATTTCAACATGTATGAAATAGCTTTTCTTAAGGTTATAATTGTGTTGATTTAGCCGATTCCATTCTATGTCTATGTGAACTGCTGTAAGATACTATTGTCAGTTGTGTTTGCCATATTACCTTATTTGTTCTTATTATTTTGCTGATTTTGGTATTACACTTTGTATGGAATGATTCTTTGGACAAAGTTATCAGGATTGAGATTACGATCCACAACAGACAAATGATTGCAGCACCTCATGCTGTGTTCTCGGTGAGAAGTTATGGAAGTGGATAATATTTCTTATTGTTTTACTTATTTTTATTATCCTTATTTGGTTTTGTTTTGTTGCTTCCTTTTGTTTGGTTATCCTATTCGGATAAACAGGAGGGAATGTTATGCCTCTTTGCATGACACACACACACACACACACACACACACACACACACACACACACACACACACACACACACACAATCTCTCTCTCTCTCTCTCTCTCTCTCTCTCTCTCTCTCTCTCTCTCTCTCTCTCTCTCTCTTCTTTATCTCTTGGTATAAATAAACTCTGTGACCAGTAGGGTTGTCACGGTGTGAAAATTTAGCCTCTCAGTTATTGTGACCAAAATTATCACAGTTTTCGGTATTATCTCAGTATTTTTTTTAAATGTGTTACATTTTCAGACAACTAAATAAACCCTGTATATCAGGAAAATATTGTCCTTGGTTTGTGTCTAAATTTTGCCTAAAATTTGTTATTTTGTAATTGTGTTGTTTATTTGTTTACATTTTTCCCCTTTAGTCTTTAAAATACCAATATTTACCCATAACTTCTTATTTTTTTCAGTTTGATGTCATCATTTAACAAATATTAGATCAGATGACACTCAGTACTCAAGTAGCCTTCTAATCAAATATACTTGAGTAATAAACCCTATATCAGGAAAATATTGTCCTCGGTTTGTGTCCTTCCAGTGAGCTTTGCAGATGTGGGAAAATGTCATCAGGCAGTAATCATTGTTAAATTCAAAATGATTCTCAGAGAGAGGCCAACTCTTATCTGCCCCTGGGAGCCCCGTAATGCATAGCGTTGTTTCAATATGGGGGTGTCCGGGACACAGTTTTTTATGCAGGTAGCAGCGCTGCGGCTGCTTTATATAGCGACTCGTTGCATTCTCCCTCAACCCAAATCCTCGGATCACGCATTTTAGCTAAAACGCTAATGTTAACTTGCCTTGCGTTGACTGTAGAGTTGTGGGTGATGGTCACGCAGATGTGTCATGAGATTTGAAGCGTGGCTGCCTTTCACACACACTTTTTCTGCATATGCTACAAACAGGATAGCCGTCTTCTAGCAACTGTCCCTCGGCATTCTTCAAATATCCAAAAAATGTCCACTTCCCACTTTGTCTTCTTTGAGGGATAATAAATGTCCTGAGCACTGCCGTGTCCTCCTTTGGCCATTATTTCAGCTTTAGCCATATAGGCTTTAGCTTCAAGAAAGTTTTTGTTGTAAACAACAAAGTGCGCATGTGCCGCCAGCAATTTCAGCAGATGATACGGTGGCTGGTAAGGGTCACCGCGCCTACACCGCAGCCACGGTAATCCACCGAGGTAATTTTTTTTAAAAAAACAAGTCGGTTATTATTATTGTCAACTTTTGTACCGGGGTTTACTGCTACACCGGTTACTGTGTACACTAATGACCAGATGTTCGGGGCATTTTGCCTCATGCATCATGCCACAGTTATAACTGTTTGACTTGTCTGCTCATTGTCTCCTTCTCTCTTCACTATAGGAAATGGGTTATTGATAAACGTATTGATAAAATCCATGACATGCATATAAAGAGTCTCTGTGTGGATAAATATCTGATCTGCTTCTAATGTATCAGCATATAAATATTCAACAGATTCAAATGTAAAAAGTGACAAAAAAGCAACATGAAGAAATGTGCTGACTGGACTCCAACAGATTCTGGGCTTGCTCACACACAACACTGGGTCACACATCATTTTCTAAGCTTTGTGAATGTGATTTAACCAAGTTTTCAAAGAGCAAATTGACAGGAAATGTGTGATACTTTGAAGGGGTTATTGACTGAAAAAACATTTTTAAAAATGTTTTTACTGATTATAATTGGTCACTCTGAAAATAGTCTCCACCTACCTCCTGCATTTGCTTCTGAAAGAAGATTTGAAAATCCTGACAAATCTACGTGAGAGAGAGACCAGGGGTCTCATTTATCAAACATTGCGTAGAATCCTTACTAAAACCGTACTTAAGCTCAGCAAAAAAAGTACTTATGCCAAGTAGGTTTGTGATCTATCAAACATGGAGTACGCACAGCTGCACGCAATCTCCGCTTCATAAATTTGAAACTATCTAGAATGTTTCTCAGCTGCATTTTAGTCACATCCCGCCTTCACCACGCCCACTTACTGCCATAAATAGTCAATGCAAAGTGCCTTGTGGATCTCATGCATATACATAAGCCGGCTATTGCAGCGCTCCGCCAATGACATGGCGACCGTAGATCAAGGCAGATCAAGGAAGCGCTATTTCACAAGCAGAAGTCGAGGTACCTGTGGGTGAGGTGGAGAAATGAAAGGAAGTGCTTTTGCAAAATAAATAAGAGAAAATCCACGGAGTGGCACAGCGTTGCTGAAGCCGTCAATGTTGTGAATTCTTCAGAGAGATCTGTGGCGGATATAAAAACAATGGTCCAATCGGGATTCGATCCCCACACTCCCAGGTGAAAGTCACGCTCACTAACCAGTCAGCCAAATGGAAATCTCCCTTGTCTGAACAGGCAGGGTGCATGATCAATCGGGTCACAGTGACAGGACGCTCACACTGTCACAGACGCACGACATTCTGTTTCAATCTGTCCCCCTGCTGATATTCTGCATTCTGTATTCTGCATTTCAGGCTGTGTGTGTGTGCGCGCGTGTGAGTGTGCGCGTGCATGTGTGTGTGCGTTTGGGGGGTCTTGTTCTGTGTGAAAACGAAGCAGTACAAGTGATAATGCTGCAGGATTTCATAATTGTATCCTTCTCAGCAGCAGCACTGCAGGTGCTCTCCATGTCCAACATGTGTGTAAGCAAGGTCCTTAGTCAACTTAAAGTTGCGCACATTTTTCCACTAAGTTTTCTTTCATAAATCCCAAAGTTTGCGTGGAAAGTTGTTTACGCAGTTTTCCGACCACGATTTGGATGTAAGCAAACTTGATAAATGAGGCCCCAGCGCAGCTGAGCGCTGCACCAAATCTGAGATCCCCTCCTATCAGGACATCTACATCAGACGCTGCGGAGGCAAAGCCACCAAAATCATCAGGGGCACTTTTCATTCAGGCTACTCTTTGTTTCCACTGCTGAACTCACAAACACGGTTCTACAATCTGACAGACAGAACTGAGAGATTCAGAAGGAGCTTTTAACCTCAATGCACAAGGCTCCTCATTCAGAACATGCCCAGCTATTAAAACTAAAATTAGTACAGGTTGCTTCACATGCTGCAATACATACTTTGTACGCTGATATCTTGTTATATGCACATGATCGTCTCATGCAACGCAGATCTCTCATATTTCATACAATTGTTCGGTATAAATGTGATTACATGTCTATGCGTATGTGTATACAAATATGTTGGGTATGTGTGAGCACACATCTGTTTCTACATACACTGATGTAATTTCTTATAAGCATATTCCTGACACATCAGTTTTATTTGATTTTATCTTTCTTACACTTTTCATTTTTGCCTCTCCATCTTTGTATCTATATTCTAGATATGTTTGCTCATGCTCGATTAATTAGGCTTTTATTTGTGTTGAATGTTGCAGTTTATGGGGCGGCTCAGGGTCTCGTTTCACAGCAGGCAAAATAAGTTTATACTTTGTTTTCCAAAAAAGAAAAAAAAAAGATGGTTGTGCGATGTAACCATCATTAAATTCCTATGTAAATGAATACGTTTGAAAATAAATTATGACTACTAAAACTGATTTAAACAGCGCTAACCACTCCAACTTTTTACTAACCTCAGAGTGCTCAGTCTGTAGTTTCGGCTCTCCACGAGATCCAACAGCTGCTGAACATCTACATCCTTTAAGTTGTTCCAGCTCAGGTCCAGCTCAGTCAGACGGGAGGGGTTGAACTTCAGAACTGAGACCAGAGATGAACAACTGATCCTTGACAAGCCACAGTCCCTCAAACTAAATAAAGACATTTGAGTTTGGAAAGAAAACCAAACTTTAGACCCTAAACTCTGGAAAACTTTGAAATATGTTAAAACAGTTTTCAGTGAGATCAAACTAAAATAATTATTGAATTTTTAATCTGCATTAATAAATAATAACTAGGACTGGGACTTGATTAAAATTTTTAATCTAATTAATTACAGACTTTGTAATCTCACACTGTACTTTTAAGATGGCTTGTGATTACATCTTTTTCTGTGTAATTTTGCAACAGCTGTTTGTCAAACATATGAATTATGGTAGCTTTAAGACAGAGTCCCACAGAAGAAATCTGGCTAAACAGGTAGAACATCAGTTTTCAGTCTGAACTTTTGTGTCACATCAGATTAATCTCAGAACACAACTAAAACATGTCTGACCTCAAAGCCTCCAGTCTACAGTGTGGGCTCTCCAGAAAACCACACAGCTGCTTCACTCCAGAATCATGCAGGTTCTTGTTCTGACTCAGGTTCATTTCTGTCAGATGGGAAGGGTTGGACTTCAGAGCTGAGCCCAGATAAGACAAACTGATCGGTGACAACCCGCAGTTCTCCAATCTGAATAAAGGATAAAACACGGGTTTAGAAATAAAACCAGACTTTTAAAAACTCTGAACTCTGGAAAAACTTTGATTCCACTGAAAAGGTTTTAACAGCTTTAATTTTATCAGCCATCATCTGCAGTTGGGTGAGAAATAATTTGTATCCAGACTAAATTTGAATTTGTAAATAATTTTGCAGTATTGACCTGAAAATAAAGTTGAAAGTATGTGAAAGTACATCAAGCACCACTGATCAGTCTTCTTCAAAGCACTATGACTCGGATTCACACAGAAATAAGTCCTAGTGACACTGGTGCGTTCACAACAGAGCTCTGACTCAAACACTGTCGAAAATCTGAAGAAACTGAAAAAAAACCCACTTTTATCCATGTAAAGAAAATAAAACTAGATGGATCAAAACTTTCAGAACACATCTTTGATCAGCTGACAGTCCAGTGACAATCAGACAGCTCAACACCTCAGATAAAAAAAAATCCTACAGTTTATGAGGGAACTTATGAAGGAGCTGCTCCTTCTGCATTTTCGTTTATCTGAGATTCAGGAAACAAATCCAAGTAATTTCCTAACTTAATAATGTTGCTCTAACTTCTAACAGTCCTGCCTAAACTAGGTTTTATAAAACACAAGTTTCATGACAAACACAGGATATCTTTTGGTCTGCAGATGAGACAGAGCACATTATCAATTTGCTGACATTCAGGACATTCTCATCTACTGCAGAGCTGTTAAAGAGAAAAATGTGGGGTCACGTTCTAAATAAAAGCTCCCTTAAAAATAAAAGCAGTGTGTTCAGATTAGAACATTTTTAACTTTGAATTTTTTTCTTTCAGTCAGATATGTCTGCTTTTTTCTTCATCCAGGGATGTCATGTACTCCATCATTAAAACGATTTAAATAAATCTAAGCTTTCACATCAAATCAAATCTCAGAACACAACTAAAATGTGTCTCACCTCAGAGTCTCCAGTGTACAGTTTGGACTCTCCAGTCCAGCAGACAGAATCTTCACTCCTGAATCCTTCAGCTGGTTTTCGCTCAAGTCCAGATGTTTCAGATGGGAGGGGGTGGACTGCAGAAATGAAGCCACGACTCCACAATGACTCACTGAGAGTCCACAGTTACACAGTCTGCCAGGACACATAAAACAAAGGATTTCATAATGAAAAATAACAGCTTACATTTACATCTGAAGAGAAGATGGTTGAACTGTTCCTGTTGGACTTTTACCTCCACTTCAGTGGTTCAGCTCATCTGATCTGGTTGATCTGATAAAACATTTTTCATTAGAGACAATCTGACCTGTAGCTTGTTTAGCTATAAACTGAAGGCGAAGGGAAAGCCCTTACTGGTTTTAATCTGAGTTTTATTCATCCACTAAAGTGTTTCTTTGAGAAAGTAAATACATTTATAAACCACCTTTCACAGAAAAGTGCTTCACAAAAAACATCAAAATTAAAAAATGATTCAAAGACAAAAATCCAAAAGAATAAAAACAAAACGAAAAAAAAAAAATCGTAGATGAAGATAAAGATCTTAAAAACAAAGCAATAAAAATGGTTTAAAACAAATGAAAAAACAAATAATTTAAATAATTTGGTTTTATATAAAATCAGAATCAGAATCAGAATGAATTTTATTGCCAGCACTCCAGATCAGAGCATAGGAACTTGACTCCATAGTACAACCTGACCAAGGTTACACACACACATATAGACAGGACAGATACAGGCAGACCATGGGAGCAGCCATGACGGCGGTCCTTTTGTAGATGAATGAGAGAATACATGAGGAAAGTTCAGGGGAGGGAGAAAAAAAGGCATTAACAGGGTTACACCAGCAGGGTGTAGCACTCTAATGCAAAAAACACCCGACATGTAAGCACGAACGTCACAGTTCACAACATGAGACCCGGTAGGTAGGAGGGAGGGGCTGGGATCCTGGTTTCTTCAGCGGGGGCTGCCTGTGTGGCGCTCAACCAGCTGAATCCGCAGGTGAGAGGGAGGTCCTGGGGAAGCACAGAGAGCAGAGAGTTCCTTCAACGTAATGACCTCGCTAGAGACCACAATCTGAAGGCTGGGGGGGGTGGGGGGTGGGGGGGGTGGGGGGGTGTGGGGGGGGGATGGATAGAGTTTCACAGCATTTGTCTGCATTCCTTCCATCGTGGGGGTTATTGCATGCAACTCCAAGGCTGCTTATGGCGTCAGATTCGATAACAGAACTTTGTTTGGGTCAGGCAGAGATAATTTTTCCTCTCTGCCTTAAGTCTGTATTGATCATTCAAGTCCTCCGGTGAAGCCATTTCGGTGATTAAACATCTCCACACCATCCGGTGACCCTTTCCGAGATGATATCAATCTTGCGCGCTAACACCGGTAACGCAGCTAAGACATTGTCCAGCTTGCTATTCACCTCGAGCAACGTCCCAGTCTGTGAGGTATCCACACGGACAGTGCTGTCCATGGTTGCGGGTCGCCCTCCAATCGCTCCCGTCATCCCAATTTTACGGAAAGCCAGATATCCTCCCACTCCAATCAGAAGGAATCCAGCGATCATCAGGCCAAATATCCACATATCTTCGACGTCCTCAATGGACAGCTGAGAGAGACAGATGATATTCCACTTCTTCCAGGAATCGAACATATATCCCGCTGCGTGTGTCCCTTGAGGGCAAGCGCGAGCCCCCTCCTCCGTCCTCATTGTAGAAAAAATCTTATCAATCGCGGTGAATGACCTATTACCGTAAATCCTCTAATACAGGCCCGGGCCTCTATTTGACTCAAGCTCATCAAGCTCCAAGCCTTTATTGGAAGGAGGGCCAGTATTAGAGGCAGGCCTCTATTTCCATTTGAGCAAAATGAACTAATGTTCCTTGGAGTTTTTGACAATTAAAATTGCGCCCACATTTTCAAAGTTAAACACATTTCTTTTAACAACGGTAGTTTCTGCTTCAGCCATCTCCCCCCTCCCCCTGCTTTAGCCCTCTCCCCCCTCCCCCTGCTTTAGCCCTCTCCCCCCTCCCCCTGCGCAGCGGCCGCAAACTCATTGATGCGCCTGCAGCCTCTCGGAGTTCCTGCTGCTCTAAACATTAAAATAATTATTTCATTTTCTGTTCCTCACTTCTGATGACCTTCAGTGGTGGCTGTTTGTTGCAACAGCAGGTACAAAAACTAACTTGTTTTTATTTGACTATTTTTCTGTCCTGTCTGTTTATTATCTTCCTGCATCTCCTCTCAATCCTTAAGAAAAACTGCTACCTGGGTTCATATATATTCACCTCATGAGTTACCTTTGAACTGCAGTTCTAAAAGATCTACCGACCGCAAAAACAGCGGAGTGCTCGCTGTTTGTCGGCCGTATCAGTGATCAGTGCGTCGGAGGACAAGGTGATGCGCGCAGCGCCCCGCTCCACAGCATGCAGCAAACGCATCAGGCGCAAATAAAAGGCAGAAAACATTAAAGGAAATGAACCAACATGAACGATCGCGTGTCAGTACCTACGGTCTGGCACAGCGCGTTATCCCCACCACCCACCCCCCCCCACCCCCGAGCGCAGGAATTTGTCACCTGCTGACAGCAGACTGCTGTCTTTTCCGAGGGCTGCATCTTGCCGGTCATTATCACATGACAGCGACTAGTCGACGACAGGCATAAAAAGTCACTATAGTGAAGTTGACTAGTTCATACACCCCCTACTGCTGCTCTCCAGAGTGTTCTGCAGCATAATCAGCATGTTCTCTTTGAACTTGATAGTGTAATGACCTGGCTGGGGTTGTAAGCCAGGTGCATTCTGGGTATTGTGTTATATGTGTTTCCTATCGTTCTGCTAGTTCCTATGCGCTGATTTGCGTGTTGTGTGAGTGTTATGTAAGCCACAGGGAAGTTGATGTGTGTTCTGTGGAGTGGGTTGAATTAGCATGGTTAACTGACACCGTGACTCTGTGTGGTAGGAGCGTGATAGAGGATCGTGTCTGTAGCGTTACAAAGCGTTGAAGAAAAAGCCTAATAAAGGTCTGCTTGAACCTCTACTGCCTCCTGCTGGTTGATTTGGGGACTATAACCCTGCCGCTGGGACGCTCAAACTTGCTTGTTACTACATTCCACCCGGCCACAATAAGAGACCGGCCATTATTTACCTCAACCGACTTTGACACCGGCCACAATTGGAGACCCGGCCTTTAATTGAATACCGGCCTGTATTGGAGGATTTATGGTAATTAAATCCATGCTGAAAAATAGTGATTGCAGAGGAAATGCAGAGAAGCGCTCTGTAGGCAGACGGGACAAAAAGAGCCTTGGGAAAATACAGATAAGGGAGCAAAAGGCAGAAGTGACTGTTCTCTGTGAGTGCCGGAAGAAGAAATGGCCTTCAGCTGCTTTTTAAAGGAGTCCAGACTGTCCGCAGTCTGCTGTTGCTGGTTTGATTCGAATTCATTCAGTTCAAAGATACTTTATTAATCCCAGAGGGAAATTAGAGTTTCAGTACACACAATTCTGAGATCAGACATACATGGGCAAGACACATGACAAGAATTGGTGACTGTGGTCATTCCCAACTCGAGTCTCGCTACCTAAATATGAGTGGGGTTTACATGAGGATTGGGTCAGATGGAGGAAAAAAAGGCACTTCAGAGTTACCCTCCACAGGGAGGGCAGTTTGCTATGCAAAAAACACCTCAGACAGAAATGCAACAGACTTCAGACATCATGTTTATGTATTTAGCAGACGCTTTTGTCCAAAGGGACTTACAAGTGATAATTGGCATGTTGCCCTTGAGGCTAACAACAACAATAACAACATCTTGACATCAGTCATGGAGAGTAGGGAACAAGGAGTGGACAGAAGAGAGGGGGGACGGGTGCAGGCAAGGTGCTAGTTAAGATGCTCTCTGAAGAGCAGGGTCTTCAGGAGTTTCTTGAAAATTGAAAAGGAAGCCGCTGTTCTGGTAGTGCTTGGAAGGTCATTCCACATTTGTGGAACGATACATGAGAAGAGTCTGGATTGTCCTGAGCTTGGTGTAGGCCCTGCTAGCTAACGATCCTGTGATGACCGGAGCGGCCGGGCCGAGACGTAAGCCTTTGCAAGAGGATTCGGGTAGATGGGAGCCATACCATCTCGGACTTTGTATGCTAGTGTTAGCAATTTGAATTTGATGCGTGCTGCTAGCGGTAGCCAGTGGAGCTCAATGAACAGAGGGGTGATGTGTGCTCTTTTTGGCTGATTGAAGACCACATGCACCACTGCATTCTGGACCATTTGAAGAGGTCTCATAGTACGGCATTGCAGTAATCGAGGTGGGAGATGACAGTAGATTGCACCAGGAGCTGGGTGGCATGTTGTGTTAGGTATGGTCTGATCTTTCGTATGTTATACAGCGCAAAACAGCATGAACGAGCAACAGAGGCAACGTGATCTTTAAAGGTCAGGTGTTCATCAATCACAACACCCAGATTTCGAACTGCCTTTGAAGGAGTCAGAGATAGGAAGTCATTTTGGATTGAGATATTGTGCTGTATGGATGGTTTTGCTGGGATGACAAGTAGATCAGTTTTAGAGGGGTTGAGTTGGAGATGGTGGGATTTCATCCATTTTGATATGTCAGAGAGACAGTTTGATATTCGTGCAGAGACAGTGTGGTCGTCCGGTGGAAATGACAGAAAGAGCTGGGTGTCGTCTGCATAGCAGTGGTAGGAGAAGCCATGTGATCGAATGATCTCACCCAGTGAGGTGGTGTATATGGCAAAGAGAAGAGGTCCTAGTACAGAGCCCTGGGGGACTCCTGTGGCAACATGGTGCACGGTAGAGGATTGTCCAAGCCAAGATACACTGAATGATCATTCTGTGAGGTATGATTCAAACCAGGCATGTGCTTTCTCTGTGATGCCCATGCTAGAGAGTGTGGATAAAAGGAAGCCATGGTTGACAGTGTCAAATGCAGCCGAAAAGTTGAGCAGGATAAGCACTGAGGATTTGGCAGTCGCTCTAGCTTCTTTTAAGGATCCCGTCACTGCTAACAGAGCAGTTTCAGTGGAGTGGCCCTTTTTGAACCCAGATTGGTAAGGGTGAAGCAGACTGTTACATTACACAACATAAGTGTCCACTAGGTGGGGAGGTAGGGTTTGGGACTCTCCACACGTCAGTTATCAACTAAATCTCATTTCCATCACCAATAAATCCTCACCTCAGAGTCTCCAGAGGACAGTTTGGACTCTTCAGGGCATTAAGAAGCTTCACTCCTGAATCATCCATCTTGTTTTTACTCAGGTCCAGTTCTTTGACATCAGAGGGGTGGGAGCTAATAGCCGAGGACAGAACTTCACAGTTTTTCTCTGAGAGTTTCCCGAAACTTAGCCTGGAGACAAAAATGCGGAAAGATTTACAAAAATAACTTCATTTACAATAATGAATTATTTACATTAATTAGATGTGGCAAAATAAACAATCTAGTCATAATTACTTCACTTTTACATATTACACTGTAATAAATAATTAGTAATTTTAACTAATCATTTACTTTCCCTGTACTAAAAATAATGACCACTGAGCTCAAAACTTCAAACCTCAAACCTCAAACTTGAAACTTGTTTTGATTGATAGAAAATGAATTTCAGATGATTAATATGGTAATGATGTGATGAATTTACTTCCATCCACCTTTCCAACATTACCAGGATGCAATTATTCTCTCCAATTTTCCATTTATGACTAATGACTGTCTCAAGACAGCATCACATCAGATTTCTGTTCTTCAGAGTGAACAGGTTCATATTATAGTAATTCATCTGGGGCCTCATTTAACAAGCATGCTTACGCACAAAACGGGGTCAGAGAACTGCATAAGCAAGTTTCCACGCAAACTTTGGGATTTATGAAAGAAAACTTAGCGGAAAAATGTGTGCAACTTTAAGTTGACTAAGGACCTTGCTTATGCACATTTTGGACATGGAGAGCACCTGCAGTGCTGCTGCTGAGAAGGATAAAATTATGAAATCCTGCAGCATTATCACTTGTACTGCTTCGTTTTCACACAAAACAAGACCCCCCACACGCACACTCACACACATGTGCGCACACACACACACACACACATACAGCCTGAAGCGCAGAATACGGAATGCAGAATATCTGCAGGGGGACAGATAGAGACAGAATGTCATGCGTCTGTGACAGTGTGTGTCCTGTCACTGTGACCCGATTCATCATGTGCCCTGGCTACTTGGACAAGGAAGGTTTTCTGTTTGGTTGACTGATTAGCACACATGACTTTTACCCGGGAGTCTTGGGATCAAATCCCAATTGGATCATTGTTTTTATATCCGCTACAGATCTCTCTGAATAACCCACAGCATTGACGCCTTCAGCAACGCTGTGCCACTCCGTGGATTTTCTCTTATTTGTTTTGCAAAAGCACCTCCTTTCACTTCTCCACCTCAACTTCTGCTTGTGAAATAGCGCTTCCTTGATCTGCCTTGATCTACGGTCGCCATGTCATTGGCAGAGCGCTGCAACAAACCGGCTTATGTATATGCATGAGATCCACAAGGCACTTTGCATTGACTATTTATGGCAGTAAGTGGGCGTGGTGAGGGCGGGATGTGACTAAAAAGCAGCTGAGAACATTTGTGGACAGTTTCTAATTTATGAAGTGGAGATTGCGTGCAGCTGTGCGTACTCCATGTTAGATAGATCACAAACCTTCTTGGCGTAAGTACATATTTTTTGCTGAGCTTAAGTACAGTTTTAGTAAGGATTCTACGCAATGTTTGATAATTGAGACCCCTGGACACGTAGGACTTCTCAAAACATTCTCTAGACTGACTTCTGTTACAGAATAAAACACAGAGCTCCATTTTCATGGAATAATAAATAGATCTGTACCAAATAGTTTGGTTCAGTAACATCAAACTTCAATAAAAATAAAACTTGGGACTTGACCAGAGAGACAGGTGATAGTGTTGACTCCTCTGTCCCTCAGACGGCCGCTGAACTCCCAAATCTTCCAGGTTTCTCCGGTTCTGCTCTTTCAGATTAAAAGTCTGGGTGCTAAGAAGTGACGAAAGTGCAGCAACACTGCAGTCATCTGAAAGGTCAGTGACACCCAGCCTGGAGAGAAGATTAAAATAGTTCTAATACAGTCTGAACTTTTTACCATCAGCTTACAGACAGTTACAAATCATCAAACATATTCTGGTTAAAGCACTCATTACAGACGTGAACAAAATAGTTGTAGCGGAAATACTTATTTTTATATTCTCAGTTAACTTTATCGGGATCCACACGGAGCAGAACAATAACATTAATAACATTTTCACACAGAGTTTTCTTTCACACTTAGCAGAAAGAGGGGTTGGAAACTGACCTTCAATCATATAAATTCCACGGGACCATTTTCAACATCTGGCTAACTCCTACATTTTGTTCCCAGGAATGTAAATTTTACCAAGTGATTTGTTTCCCCTCCTTAAAGCAATCAAGAAGCAGGATGATATTAAAACGTGGTCTGGTCTATGTCAACCTGCCAAGACCGACTCTCCCCAAAGGTGAATGCTCGTAAAACCTGATATGTTCTGGAAGATTCCAGAATCTCGCCTTTATCAAAACCCTGGTATTTTTCCGTTTATCTATAATCAAAGAAGGTGTTTAGGTTGTTTACCCTTAAAATAGAAATCAAGGTGCTCTAAGTTTAAAATCTTGTCAGTTACAAACCTAACTGCTTGTTTTGTGTTTTTCTTTTATGTTAAACCTCTGTCAATTTGTGTTTCTCCAGTTAAAGTTCATGCTAACGGTAAAACTATCTTGTTTTAAGACCTGAATTTTATTCTTTCCCATTTAAAGTAATACTTTGATGTTGAAGTAATCCTTTTTGAGGCTTTATCTGGAATAAGTTTTGGTAAATTTTGAGATGAACTCTTCAGGTCTGTTGAAGGTAGTTTATTTGGAAGAGCCACAGTGCCCTCCTGTGGTTTTTGAGTGGGATACAGGTGGGCGTGCCCAAAAGGTTATATAAGCACCCAACCGAACCTCGTGGCGGCAGAGAAAAGAACAAAGGATGCCTTAAGCACATTCCTGCGGGCTGTTTCCATCTGGCCTAGCAGAACCCAGCTCTTAAAAAAATCCAAGCCATTAGCTCTCAAAAGTTTTGGCAAAACTCAGAGGCTTCTGTTTGTTTTGTTTTGCCGTTCTACGCATAACCGGAAGTTGATTCATTCAAAATAAGTTTGCACATTAAGAGTTGAAAGCTATTTGGAACAGTTCTGATTCGGCACTGTTTGTGAATCTGGACTCGCGCTCTGAATTCCATGTTTCGGTACAGCTGAGTTGAGAACCTTAAAGTCAAGCCACTATGGGAGAACGCCTCCTTTTTTGATACCACAGACGCCGTTGACCTAAGCTGAGGTGTCAAAACGTCCTATGGCCCCTGAAGGCCGCATTCAAACTTCGGGACTCAGCTGAACCAGCCCACAGGACACCTCTTTGGTGATGAAAAAAGGTCAGTGAAGCATCTCTTCTGGCTGACTTTTGTGCTAAGCTGATTAGTGAATTCAGATTAGTTCATTTCTTTTATGGCATGTTTTTATTTCGATCCAAAATTCACGTTTAGCCCTCAAGATCCCTTTTCTTCTTCTGCCACAACGACTCCTAGAACACACACACACACACACACACACACACACACACCTTCATTTGCATCCACACCCCTCCTGGACACACACACACACACACACATACACGCTTTCACTTGTTCTCCTTACAGAAATTATTCCTAATATTTACTATAACCCTATGTTTCACTAAATTCCACTTTATTACAGATCAGTATATCATAGCACTGTCATAAAGCCTTGGGTTTATCCATCTACTTCCTCTCATGCATGAAACTATAAATGTGATTGGTCCTTTTTGTCAATGTAACTGATGATTGTAATAAATTCACAAAACCTAAATCATGCCTTATCATTGTCTAGCGATCTCGAGAATAGCCGGCACATTCTGACAGGGCCGGATTATCATTGCAGAGGCCCCTGGGCACAATGTGCTTAGCCCCCCCCCACCCCCCCCCCCCACCCCCCCCACCCGGCCTCCCCAACATTACTGCCACCCAGAAGCACTTTTTAGACATTTCATAACATTGTCAATATTAAAACTCCCCTAATTATGTTGATACAAGGGTTAAATATCTGCATGTTTTTTGTTTGTCTCCTGCCTCCTTCCTCCTCTTGTCTCCTGTTTCCTTTCTCATCTTGTCTCCTGTCTCCTTTCTCCTCTTGTCTCCTGTTTCCTTCCTCATCTTGTCTCCAGTCTTCTTCCTCCTCTTGTCTTCTGTCTCCTTCCTCCCCTTGTCTCCTGTCTCCTTCCTCCTCTTGTCTCCTGTCTCCATCCTCCTCTTGTCTCCTTCCACTTCTTGACTCCTGTCTCCTTCCTCCTCTTGTCTCCTGTTTCCTTCCTCCTCTTGTCTCCTGTTTCCTTCCTCCTCTTGCCTTCTGTCTTCTTTCTCCTCTTGTCTCCTGTTACCTTCCTCCTATTTTCTTCTGTCTCCTTCCTCCTCTTGTCTCCTGTTTTCTTCCTCCTCTTGTCTTCTGTCTCCTTCCTCCTCTTGTCTCGTATTTCCTTCCTCCTCTTGTCTTGTATTTCCTTCCTCCTCTTGTCTTCTGTCTCCTTCCTCCTCTTGTCTCCTTCCTCCTCTTGTCTCCTGTCTCCTTACTCCTCTTGTCTCCTGTCTCCTGCCCCATCTTGTCTCCTGTTTCCTTCCTCATCTTGACTCCTGTCTACTTCTTCCTCTTGACTCCTGGCTCCTTTCTCTTCTTTTTGTTTCCTCTTGTTGGTCTCCACTCTTGCCTTAAGAAAAACTGCTTTCTGGCCTTTCTATTAGTAAATTAATTTACAATGACATCAAAGTCCAGATTCCTGACAAGCTGAGATTCAATTGCCATCAGTGACAGTGCACTGAGGCGCTGTTGAGTTTGTGTTGTTCTCAGTTCATTTTTTATTCTTGCCATTTGTGAAAATAGTTTCCCTTCACAATTTGTAACTGATAGCAGGCGCGTTGCAAGCTTTTCAAAAGTGTGGGTGATGTTGTCTGTGCCTAAAATAATTATGTTATTCATCTTGTTAGTTTAATTTCCATAATAGCTGAGCAGGTGTGAATTTTAGACGTGTCACGCATGTCTCCATTTTAAACATGTTTAAACTGTTCAGAATACAAATCCAGGCTCTGTCTCGTTAGTTTGGTGCAACAAAAGTTTGTACTCAATGAAATTTTTACATTAAACCATGTTGAAAAGGTAAGAAAAGGATCCGATTAAGTCGTTTTCCCCCTCATTTATAGGCAGTACAGCGTAGCGTGCATGGCAC